GTGGGTGCTCTCTCGTGCGAGAGAAACACATCGGAAGCGCGCAATCTAAATTTTGTTATTTTTGCTTGGGCGCGGTCTGGATCGCAAAGTATAGGAAGTGGCCGCAAAGGCGCATCCCTCTTCTTTCCAAACTAGATCATACCCGCGGTAAGTTTGGACCCCCTAAAGGAGGCACTTCGCATGCAACAGTCCACTGACACAAGCACTCCCTGGCCCTCTCTCTCCACACTGTGCCAACCCTGTCGGCTCTCTCTTCATCGCCAAACCACATTTCACTACCACAGGAATCGTCTTATATAGTCGATTACCGCCGATCTTAAGCTCAACTGAGCCACAATGTTCACCTCTGAAGATGAGCGGAGGTTCTTCATCTCCATTTAGCCGTTTTACCAACCCTGCCAACGAGATTCATGGGCCCCTCGCTACCCTCGGGTGGCGGGAGTAGTCGCCCTTCGATGACTTGCTCGGTGCTTTAGCTACCTCGAGATCGCGTCTTAGGACCACCTCTGAGAATACAGCAAAGTCCGAGGGGTTGGTCGGCCAGTTCTGAAGAGGCCTCTCCGTCGTTGACGTGGCAGCATCATGCTCCGCGTTCATGATGGGAGAGGTGTGGCTCTGGACGTTGTGGCGCCAGTGAGGCACTTTGTGCATGTATGCTTTTGTTCTCAACCGTATCAATGTCATGTTCGTTGTCGTACATTCAAGATTGTGCATTCGTAATCACGAAGTCGAGCTTGAAGTTACCCACTTGGCATGGGTAATGCTTTGTCACTTGGAATGAATGCGGGTCAAGACAAAAGTGTGGTGGATGGATATGCTCTCGTTCGCTCATCTATAAGTGGAGATGCTCCGAATCCGACCTAGCTTGGCTTCCCATTCATCTTCACATCTGATCGATGAGAACACGACGTCTCGAAACTTGTGTTGGTCTGGTGCAGCCCCACTCTACGTTCCTTCATCAAAATTCGACCACTATGCTTTGCGCGTCACAGCATCATCCACAGTGTCGAGCCAGCATCACATGTCCCCGATGCGCCGAACCTGTCCCAAGCCATTCCGGCCTCACGCCTTGCTCCTTGACCTCATGCGTCGAGGAGCAGTGACTTGTTCTGCAGGCATCCGATACTTTCTTCCTCGACTGCAATGGATTTGAGTGGGGCCCTATTCTACATTTCTGGCAACGTGTCATTCTGCACCTGCTGACCTTCGACCACAGCTTTGAGCTTGGCGTAAGCTTTGTCTAGGTCATCATTTACGATAATATGGTCGTGACCACCAGACTTGGCATACGCGAGTTCTGAAGCTGCCATAGATAGTCTGGCGTCCAAAGACTGCTCCGTCTCTGTTCCCCGAGCTTCTAACCTAGATCGCAAAGCTGCCAGCGATGGCGGTGCGATGAAGACGAATTGGCAGCCCAAGTAGTCGTGCAGAGCCTTGATCTGCTTCACGCCCTGCGGAGAAATGTGGTGCATCTCACGTCAGACGCCATCTGCCTTGGCGAATTCCAGCCTTCATTGGGCCGCCAAACAGGAAAGGACCCGCTGCTGATGATCACTCACCTGGGTGTCAATGTCCAGCAAGCATCGCTTCTTCGCCCCATCCGGCGTCTTTGCATTTTGAACATCCACTACGGCCTGTGCGCTGGTGCCGTACAGATTACCACCGAACTCTGCATGCTCCAAGAAGTCACCCTTCTCCACTCCAGCCAGGAAGGATGGGCGATCGGTGAAATGATACGCCACTCCATTTGTCTCTCCTGGTCTCGGAGAGCGAGTGGTGTCTGTATGCGGCGACAAGGGCGGGCGCGTGAGCTTTCAATCGCAGAGCTCTTCGTCGGGGCGTGTTACTCACGGCTAACACTGAAGCCGAACTCTGGA